ACGTCCAGACTCCAGTTCGAGTTCCGAGTAGGGAGAGCTTTTTGTCGCATCTCGGTCTTTCTGCTGGACGCTATTGTGTCCTTCTCGGTCTTTCTGCTAGGACGCTGTTGTATTCTTCTCGGTCCCATTAATTGGCTCTGCCAGTCAGGGTCATAGCCCACCTCCCAAAATGATGGTAATTGTGTCAATGGGGGGCGAACAATGCCTATGTTCAAATTAAAAAAAAATAGTGCTGCTTTCTGGAAGTAGCTATTTTGGTCTAATCGGGTAATTGAAGAAGAAGAAGAAGAAGAAGAAGAAGAAGAAGAAGAAGAAGAAGAAGAAGAAGGATTCTTCGGTTAAAAAAAACAGAAATAAAAAAACAAACAAACGAAAAAAAACCCCGGTCTACTATAATGGCCATTCAAGCAAACAAGCGTACGGTATAAGATTTCTGTGAACACTAGCAGACGATCCAGCTCGTAAGCAGACGATAAAAGGAATCTCGGAGCCGAGAGCGTTCGTCCGTCTAGTCGTCTGCCAAGAAACGGTCTTTTCTGGCAAATTAGCGGCACTGAGTGGCCAGATACGTCCCGCGAGTCCAGACTACGTGAGAGAAGGCGCGCTGTATTGCGCGGACATCTTCACTCACTCACTCACTCACTGACACACGCACGCACTCACGCACTCACGCACTCACGCACGCACGCACGCACACACGCACGCAGGCATGCGCACAAAACTTGCTCACCCCATTTACACCCCGTGTGTCTGTAGAGTGGACCCCGCGCGTGCGTGGAGTGTGAGGACGTCATAAGTTTGGTGACTTCACAATCCGTGAGTATGTTGTTGGGTAGTTTGTACAACTTTGAGATCACTTTGAAATAAATAAGACTGCCGTCTGTGCTGTAGTTACTTTTGTCATTGGGAACTGCAAATTTGCATTGTTGTTGTGCTTTTGATCAACGTTTATTCCAGTAAATTCCGCACAGAAAAGTGTTTTTAAATTATCTTAAACACTGTCGAGCCACCAAATTTTTAAAAATAAAAATGCCGAACTGGCTGGAAAATGCCGGTTTCCTCGATTATATTAAATTGAAGAGAGCCTGATTTCCACACGAGGCCTCACAATAACATTTATTTTTTTAACTTTTCAAGAACAAGTGAGGAAGGTTGGAGGGTTGTTCTTACTCTTTTTATTTCCTGTCTATTGTTTCTACTTACTGTCTGTCCGTGTTGCTTCTCTTCTGCACTAGATTAATGAACGGTATAGCGTCGTTGTACCTTTATTTATTGGTCGAAGAAGAGCAAAAGAAGAACACGTTAAAAAAAATGCAATAGTCTTTTTCAAGCAATAAAGAAGAGTGAGTATGGACAATGATTTTGCTGTTAAACCATGAAGACAGTATACGGAATTAATATGTCTCTTTATTGGTGAATACAAGAAGAGATTTCACACAAATTCTGCATTGACAAAATTTTTTTTTTAAAGAATAGTTTAAGTTAAACAAAAATCTCCTGAAAGGAAAGAAAAAGTTCACACAACCTCCACCTTTAACCGGAGCTTTTAAGATTTGTGTGTTGTTTTTAATACCATCTTTTTTTTTCTTTAAGGGGGGGGGGGGGGGGGAAGCGCTCTTTTTTAAATTTTTTTTTTTGTCAAGTTCATAGCGGGTGCTCTCGTGGTCGAGAGGTTACGTTGTTCGCATCTCATTCAATAGGTCCGAGGCTCGAATTAAGATAGCGACGGAATATTTTCTTCTCTAAAATTCTCTCCTTTCACCCCCTTTCCTGTCTTCTAACAATGTTCTGTCGTCTGCTTTCGTCTCCCCTATCTGCACCTAGACTTCTCAGGTATGTGCAAAAAATCTCGGAGGTCCGTGTGCAAGTTGCGGGCGTTAAATATCCCTTGGTGGTCTAAAGGCGATAAGAATAGGATTTGGCAGCTACCCGTGAAAAATTCAAAATTTGCTACCTACTGAACATGTTAATCGTGTCTCACTCGCTCATATAACGTTACACTGTTGCGAGCAGGGGCGAAGGCTGACTTGTTTGACAGGGTAATCAAAGTGAAATGGGACCAGATAGGGCTGGAGATATCACACTCACACAAGTCACAAGAATCTTACTGGCACTGGAGGCGGCAACTCTGAGTTGTGAATGAAAACAAATCCTGAATTCATGTTGTATGCTTGTTCAACCGCTAAAATAATCGGGAAAGTATTTCATTAAATATTTATTCTAACTAACCTTAAATTTAACTTTAGATTTGAACACACGAACACCAAGGAAAGAAGCACAGATGTCAGCACTACAATGGCATGTTATACCAGACAGCCGAAACACTTTGGTAGAGCACGCCAACTATCAATTTTTTTATTTCACATTTGGCTGTTTTTTGTCTAGCTTTTCGCGGCCACGAGCCTCTGTCATAATCGAGGTCACGATCTGATTATAGGACGTTAAAAAGTCGAGGAAAAAAACAAGCACTAGCAGTGTAGTAGCAGGAGTCAAAGGATTATTAGGAGTTAGTTCCCCTCACATCTGTGAGGTAGACTCGACCAGTGTAATAGTTCGCTTAGATAATCAGCGCGTCTGGGTGCTTATAACTGTGGCCCGAAAGGGGTGAACAAGGTATATGCAACAATGAAACAGTTCTGACTGCTATGCACATGTTCCCTTCAAATCCATTGGTTGACTCTTCCAGCCTCACTTTAAGCTTACTTAATCAAAGCTTGTGACTGCTTATGGAGTGGCCCGATAGGGGCAAACAGGCTATTTCTGTGGCAATGAAACGGTTTTGAAGGTTAGGTATAGTCTATTGTTCATTGGTGATTATGAACGTCTTTTTACATTTAATTTATGAGGTTTACGTCTATGGGTGAATTGACTGCGACAATGTTTCAAAATTAGGAAGGGAAGCAGTGATTATTTGATTATGTAGACGCTTCGCCTCTGGTTGCGAGAGACGTAAAACACTTTTTTAAAAAGGGGGAAAAAAAGATATAACAAATTCATAGCCAGCTGGATTCTATGACTGTTGTAGCAGCGTTTTGCATTGTGGTGAACAGACTCTTCACCTTCTCACACAGAACACGTGGGTTCGATATCCGAGTAGGGAGAGTCTTAAAACATTTTTTTTTTTCGTCTTTTTGCTGGGATGTAGCGTCTCTCTCAGTCTGGGATGTCTCTGACAGACACAGTCCAATTAGCCGCTATCTAAATGGTCTCAATTCGTGTCGATGAAGTCGGAAACTCTTCTTACAATTGCCTTAAATCCATGTCCAAAGAAAATTCGTGAATTGCTTCATTAAATATTTTGTGTCACTAAAGGAAGGCGGAACATTTAAAAAAAAATACCAAAGTAAAACAAAACAACAACAGCAATAACAGCAGCAGCAACAACAACAACAACAACAACAACAGCAACAGCAACAACAACAAAAACAACAACAACAACACAAAAACAAACCAAACAAAAACTGGTCCAATGTATGTTTGGTTATTGTTTTTAACAAGTTCTAGCTGCTTCCCAGACAAAAGACTTAAAAAAAAAACAACAAACAAATACAACAAACAAAAAACAACAAAACAAAGCAACAACAACGCAACAAAAAAGCGTTAAAAAACCCTCCAAAATCTTCTTGTCTATAGAAGGAAATATTTTTTTTCTGACGAAAGAAGAACATTTTGATCCAAGCTTCAATTGGTTGCAGCAAAATTTGCATGTCATCTTATTTTGTTGTCTTAAATGAAATTTAAGATATTTTTGTGAGATTATTATTTTGAGATTTGGGCAAGTTCACAAGCAACTGGCTCACAAGGTCAATGTACCCAGCATCTGTGGTGTACAGGGTAAGCTCTTTGCCGTCACACACAGCACATGTGAGTTCGATTCCCTAGTTAAGTACAGGCTGATAAAAAACAAAAACAAACAAACAAACAAACAAACAAAAACAAAAACCCAGCAACAGAACTGTACAACTTTTGTTTCAAAATATTTCGCACAAAATATTTGTACTAGAATTTTGTAATTTGGAACATGTATAATTAATTCATTCATAAGGAATTTTTTGTACATACAATTCACAAAGAAGAAACTTATTTTCGAAAACGAAAACGGCTTTTTATAAAAACCACCTATATAATAATATGCAAAATGTACCAATTTAAACGATCTTGTAAGTGAAGTTATGAAATGATTGGTTTTGTTTTTTCCTTTCTTTGTATTTTAAAATTTTAATTTTTCTATCCCTGTAACCTTTCAACAATATTTCTTTTCTTCTATGGAGTTTAACAAAATATTTTTTTTTGGAATTCTGGAATTCCGAGAATCAATGGTCTGTATGTCCTCCTTTTAGACTCGGCACATTTTAACACGTCGTTCGTAATGTTCAGTGGTGGCTAAACACAAGGACCCACTCAACCAGGAGAAATCAAAGTCACACACACTGTTACAGTACACCTTACAGTATGGAGCTGTTTTTAGAGACAACACGGGGGGGGATGAAGTTGCCCAAATAGACAGCATTAAAATTTGTGGAGTTGATATAACCTGAAAGGTGATTATGGGTTTTGCCAAGGTACCAAATGTCATAGAGGAAATGTTCACGCTTTTCAAGACGGTCGAGAAATCATGAACACATTGCTGTACTCTGATAGCTTCGCGAAAAGAACAATGGTACAGTCGTAGATGAAGATTTGCCTTGAGAATGCAGACCGTTGAAATATAGGAAAGTCATTGCTGCTGGCATTGTCTACGGAGAGACGTCTCATGGGGCTCATCTACTGAATTCTGCACCCTGATGACATTTAAATGGGTGCCAACGGTGTGTGATTGACCTGAAATAGTCGTTTTGTCTGGGAATGTTTAGTTCTGATTCTCTACAGGTCCTAACTGATGGACTATTTCCACCCTTGACATAAAGGCACTTTAACATCATTTCCGGACCTTGTGCGAAACTTACGAAATGAATTGGTGGTGAAGAAAAGTTTCTATACAAAAAGCTGTCTGCTCTTTTCTAAACTTAACCATGACCCCAGCAGGCAAAGGAAACTTTAGAAAACTATCTGCAAACTACTGTTGACCTGTTACACCACTGTAGCTTGGAATATTGCGCAATCGTTGTGATTTTTTAGTGGTAGTCTAATGCCAACTAGTGCGTCGTGCTACAAAAATGGGGACAGCTGAAAAAGGCTACTTTTTTACGCGCTATGTAGAGCAAAACTATTCTGTGGATTTATCTAAAACGAATCTCAGACAAATTCCTTTTGACTTCCAAATGTTGTGTACAAATTTAAACAGCAAAACTTCAGTGGAGGAAAATATTAACAAAAAAAGTAGTATAGTTTTTTAACGATCACCCTGTACTTCTTTTTTAAAATTAATCGAACATCTCTATCTGTCTCCTCGGGTACTGTCTATACCCTACTCAGACGGTGAGTTGCCTCTGAAAGACAAGATCGACCTCGATTACAACATTCTTAATTCCCTATCTTTTCACAGTCTCTTAGTCTTACGCTCTGTAATATCACTCCCTCTCTCCTGGAAGAGAGAACTTAAGCCAGTAGAGTATTCCCTCAACTGCAATTACTCTAATTGTAAACAGACGTAATATAGATAATTTGGTCCTTTTT